TAGTAGACCTCTGTAATTAACAAATTGCATGATCAATGTTTGAAAAAACTATTTATTTTTGTTTATATTGGCCTAAAGAGCAAAGAACTGATAAAAAATATTTTTTTCAATGGCTTTTTCTGGGTATGCCACTTAAAGGGTAAATGGGGACATTTCCCCAAACTAAGTGTTGTAGTATGACCATGATGACACTGTAGAGTTCTGTAGTGATTTTGGTGACACTACACTTAACTGTCACAAAGTTATTGAAAGTTATTCCTAATAAAAATAATTTTAAAAAATGATTAAAAACAGACTAAGGTACATTTCCCCAAACTAAGTCCTGTAGAATGACCATGATGACACCCTAGATGTGTAGAGTGATTTTGGTGGTAGTACAATTGATAGGAGCAAAGTTATTGCATTTTATTTAATAATAATGATAGCGACAGCACAATCATTGCTTTTGATCATTTAGCCGATGTACAGAATCTCTGGTTTAAGCTACTTCCAGGATTGGCGGGTAGGTGCCTCTCTACTGTATCTGAACGTCACCTGCCACTAGACCTGCCACTACCGGCAGGCACTGTTCCCGAACAGCTCCTGTCACTGTTTAGCGCCACTAGCGACAGTACAATCATTGCTTTCTCAAATATTATCTTAAAGAGATGTACAGTCAGCAACAATAATATAATTCGTAGTCATACAAAGATTAAACAAGTCCTCAATTTATTTCCGTATTCCAGTTTATCGTAGCCGTGCACAGCATCTCGGGTTTACTTCCACGAGCGGCGGTGGCTGTCTCTGTACACCGGCAGGACCTGTATTCGAACGGGACCTGCCACTGTTAAGCGCCACTAGCGACGGACAGAAGTGGCAGCTGCCGCTACCTGCCTTGGCGGGTGTCTGTGACGTCACTTCCTCCTGCCAGCTGCCGTTTCAAGACTGAACCCCCTCACTGCCCTCAGCCTAACGTTAACACTACTAACTTTTAGCCTGCTAGTTAATTTTAGCCAAACTCGAACTACATTTTAGTTCCTTCGTGTCAAACGTAAAATTTATAAAACAATACAAAATGGACTTACCCAACAGTAGTTTTTTTATATAGATATATTAACTTTCACCCTCCTCTCTCCTTGTCAGTAAATAAGACTCGTGAAAATGCGTTAACTTTTCCTCTCCCTCTCTCAAGATAATCTGGAATATCGCGGTATATCGCGAGACTGCCAACTGTTTCCAAATTCAAATTAAAAAACTTTATGTATCCACATGGGGAAATAAAACGCACGCAGAGTAAAGCGAGTAAACTTTTTTTTTATTTGACAATCCACAACCAATTCGGACTTTAAATGTTAACCAGGTATATACCTGTTCATATCTAAATGCATAAATTTCATAAAAATAATAAAATAATTTTTTAATATTCGAAAACACGGGGCGCATAATAATGCCAAATGCAGTGGCTTCACAATCACAGAGCACTTTGTGAATAATTTGTCATAAAACAATATGTAAATAAACATTATTGTGCATTTCATTAAAAAAAATATATCATTTTCCCCCCACAATGAGTCTTGTTTGAATAGACGTACGTGTAAAGGACGTCAGTGGCCGTCTTTTCACAACCTCTTAAAAACTACTCGGGGCACTTACTTTTTATTGCAGTATTAACCAAGGTGTAATCACAATCGCATTTGCATGTTTCGTGCTCAATTTCACAGTGGATTTAATAAAGGATCATGATGGACTGTAAATGCTCGTGTAAAGGACGTCACATAGTGGACCTTCGCTCACACATGCACTCACTATTAAAATGCACTTAGCTAAAACTCAAAGTGACAGCTATACATGCAACCCCAGACAACTGTAGACATGTACAAATGTATCTGAATGCATTTTTAGGCAATGTTCTGTGTCACATATTTTTACCGATTTATGCCGTCTTACCTCGACTGTTTTTGGCCGGGGACACAACGTCGCCGTCGGACAAATGTTTGCTGGGTTATCTTGTGCGCACAGAATAACTTGTGAGCACAAGAAAATAACTTGTGCCACACGATTTAAAAAAAAAAAATCACCCTATGGGACTTCGGGGGCTCCGTATTAAAGTGAGAATTTCACACGTACCGAAATAATAAAAATAACACATGCTATTAACATCCCTTCTTGTAGAATTAAAATACATTATTAAAGTCCGTTTCCAATGTTAATAATATAATTTAAATGATCACCAAAATAATAAGTATGTACTTCAAAAGACTCGATTACTGTTCGGTTGAGTTAAAGTCCGGGCTGTGTGTGACGATTATGTGATATCTGGTACCACCTCCATGCATGTTTGCATAACGTCATGTTCGGATTCGCTTGTGGAGATTACGTGTTTCTGTCCCTCTAGTGGAGATCCTCCTGGTGGAGGTCTGCAGCCAGACCTTTCTCAGACAGTTAGCCTGGTCCCGAGCAGACTTGTTCGGAGGTGCAAGTTACCATGGCAACTCAGCGGGGATTCATTTAAGACACGTTGATGGAACGGAACTCTCACTTAAATAAGACAGACTTATCGAAATAAGCCAGACTTTCCCTTAATCCTGCTTCATGGAATACCCCCCTGATAACATAGATTCTCTCTATCCATCTGTCTTCCAAACCAGTTCATCCCATGTGTAAGTGTGTAGGATGCAGCACAGGGCACAGGGCAGGGCGACTGGCAGGGATGCCTGTCCGTCACAGGGATTCATATACTATGCTCAGTGCAGAGATGAATCTAGGCACAGCTGCCCTTTTAAAGGCACCCTTAGATGGTGGAGCATCCGTCATGTTTGGGGCCAGGCTGTGACATCATCTACGGCTTGGGGTGCAGGTAGTACAGTCGCTCTAGGGCAGTGTTTCCTTATCCATGTTTTTGCTCCCTCCCAGTACCTGATTGGGAACAAAAATGAGGACTGTTTAATAGAGAGCTGTAATGGAGCAAAAACAGACTGTCTGGGGCTCCCCGAGGACCGGACTGGGAAACACTGCACTAGAGCTTATACTAAAGCACCTGGCTCTAGTGGTCATGTGACATTAGGGTTACACACTTGCTACAGCTGCCCACTGGAGAAACTGGCTGTTTGCTTTTTTGGTGTAAGAGGTGGTATGACACCCCTGGAATGTGTGTGTGTGTGTGTGTGTGTGTCTAAGTATGTGCCCTATGACAGATCTGCGTACCAACCAGGGTACATATGCTGCTTTGGATGGCTGAATTACTGAATGCAATTCTGCCTATATAGTTAACATGAGTACTGTACTGTTATCTCGAACCTGCGGTTTAACTGTGCTTCATAAATCATTTACTACCACTAGAGGTCGTACTGTATCAACTCTAGAACCGTCAGAGGAGTTCATATACTTACGATACGTATTTTATATATCAAAAGTTATATGTATGTCATGGAGATTGTATATGTTAAACTGTTTTAGACATCACTAATGCCTCGCGAATCACGGTTGTACCTAAGTTATTTCCCCTCTGCAAAATGTAAGTGAACGAATATGAAGTCCATTTAAACTGTGGTACCTTAAATCCGACAAGTTACCCCGATAAGCCAGTAACCCCGCTTCGTAGTACAGGCCACAGGCGACAAATTCATTGCCACAGGTTCTTTAAGTGCCTTGGGATAGCTATTTTGTAAAAGGCACTATATGAAACGAATAGAATATCCCAAGGTGTCGCAGTCGTCTGGCGATCGTAGCCCGTATTTACTCGTTTCCAAATTTGAATATGACCCCGGTGATTTGGCCCGCTAATTTGCCCACCAATGCTAAAAAACATCATGATGAACTATACGTCAGTGGATTTTCAACGTATGCTTAATTCAGCATTACAAAAGTTAAAAAGCAGAAGTAGGCTACTGGTCGCGAACAGATGAGCGCCAAGTAGCTTATTTCACGCCTGATATCTTGTTAACTGAACTGTACAAATTTTCTCCAGCCTTTTAATTGTAGGCATATACACTTTACACGCAGCACCAAATCTATGTTGGATTTTCCCTGCTTCCAGTCGTATGTCTTTCACTTTTTTTACTTGCCCTAAATGTACTTTCCGTCACTCAGAATTGGAATAACACCCTTTTTATTATTAATGTACCATGTAATTTATTCATGCTGCAGAAGTCAACATTCAGCGTTCAAAGTTAAGTGGGTGTGTTGTTGGGTCAGGCTCCCGCTATCTGTCGGCCAAACTTTAAAACGGCACATATTAGTTATTTTAATGTAATGCCTTTCATTACATTACCTTATGTGCCCCGGTACGATGTGCGTCGTTCTTCCGCATCTTCAGCATCTTCCGTGCGTCTCCCTCCCACCCTCAATCGAAGACTTCCTCTCAGGACCAGCAGCGGCTCACAGTCGTCGCTTGTGTCTTTTTTCTTGCAAGTACTTCTTATGTAAGTATTCCATTTAATATTTTTCAAGGATGCCATATGTATTAAACTATATTTAATGAATATAATGATAAATGCCTAAATGGATCATCAGTAGAATACCACAAAGAATTTGTGTAAATTTAAGCTTGATTGGTATATTTGCAGTAATTTTAATTGCAACAAAAATAAAGGTAGGACAGCTTTTTTCCTGAGGTATGCTGAAATGATAGCACGGTCACCCTATGTATGTCTGGTGATCTGTCGTTCATCTGGAAATTATGACTTGATTAACTCGATTTCATTAGGTAGACACATAGGCTATGGACGCTGGGAAGCGTGCTTCATAAAACTATTTTATGAAACGGAAAACATCGATAATTAATTTTATTGGCAGAAACTATTGAAATGCCGTAAAGTACCCAACAGGAATTTAAATAAATTTAGTAGTATCAGTAACCAAAATTATTACGAAGACGAAAAGAACATCGATCAGTGTAATTAATAGCAAACAGTTTTCACAAATTTAAAAGTATTTTCTTTGTTCACCACTATATTGTAAACATTGACTATGCCACCTAATAAATGAGTAATTAACGAAAATGTATCTAGTCCTTCAACATGATGGTATTAAAGATCAGCATCCACAGTATAGGCCTTTATCTGACACTCCGAGCACGAGGGCCACATCTGAGAAACTGTGCAAAACGTTGTTGTTTGAAGGTGATATTTTAAAATACACTGACAATATTTACCAAAGCAACATAATTCGTGCGTTTACTTTTAAAGCCATTGCAAAAGATCGAAAGAGACCGAACGGAAATGGTACACGGATTTGCTTTTCCCGCAGTCTATATGCTGCTGCGTTTTCATGCGTTGTTGCACCAGTCGGCCTATACTTAATAATATATTACAGAATTGCAACCTTCACTTGGTGATCGTTTTGGGAAACTAGCTTGAATTTATTGACGTTTATAAGGACCATCGCCTAGTACTGAATATAAGCTGTTGGGCGATGAGTGGGTAATGATTTATTTTTAATGATAATGATAACAATAAGCTTGTTGATTTTGTATTTTATATCAGGATAAATGATATATGTAGGCCTAGCTGGTTTGTCAATTGATTTCGATTCTCAGCAGTAACTTCTTTGAAAATGAAGAAGCCGTGATAGAAACCACAAAACATAGTACTTTATATTGAACACTAACAGGCGTCTTTTAAACAGTATGAATAGGCTATAGATTCAAATAGAAAAGTTTAAGTAGGCATAGGCTATTGAATGATTTTATTTGTGTGAAGGGTAGAAAAAATACTTCAGGAAATGTGTTTTAACGTCATAAATATTGTTTCACTTTTTCTTATCGAGAAGGGCTAAAAAAAATGCGAGAAACAATCATTCACGGAACACAGACCCATGGAGTGAATCAACGGAAAATAAAATATTATGTAAATAATACTGGGAGTACGTCTACAGTCTGATTCACGTCCTTCGTCACTGACGATATATGTTTTATTTATTTAATAAAATAAATGTATTAAATCTTTTTATTATTTGCCAATGGGAATTTGACACTGAATCAATTCCTGAGAGACTTTTGGAAGTATGAAACTGACGATTTGTCATGGTTATATCACCACAAGATTGTATTATAAAGTGATTTTATATCATTCCAAGGCTACGGCTGAGCGCCTCTAATCGGCGGTAAGTCATGTTTTTCAATGGCATGATACCGGAATTTATGTAAGTTTTTTTGCACATCTGCATGTGTATAGGTCACGTGAAGTGGTATCTTTTTGTATTCATAGTCTTTGCATAAATTTTAAATAATTGTTTACTTATTAGTAGACAATACAAGTCATAATATATGAATGAACTGATTTCAATGGGATTACATGATTTGACTGCTACGTCGTCAGCTTACTGTATATATCGCAACACGAACATGTCGCGTTATATAAAGGCAGAGTAGATGTTTTACTTATGTCTAATACAAACTAAATTATAATTGGAAACTGAAAAATTTTGTCATATATTAGTTTTACAGAGGTGATTATTACTGAAATTGTCGTTTGTAATTTTAAATTTGTTTGTCAATAAATGAAGCAATTCATTTATTGACATAGTAAATAGGCCTACTTGTAAAGGTTTAACAGAGACAAGTGAGAAGATAGTCGAAACGTTCGGAATTAGCTTTGAGGTTTTTGAAAAAGCCGCAGAAGTTTGAAAATGCGTCTTTTTTTGTAAATCGAATATAACTTTAATTCGTAACGCACATGTGGCTCACTTTTAATTCTGCACCTAATTTAAATATTTCTCTTTGTATTTAATCGTATTTTCTTATTTGTGTAGTGTGTTTTGGGCTGGGGGTTGGTAGGTTAATACTTAACTAAGTTAAATACAAAAAAACAAACATGCCTATAAAGCGGTCGTGTGTGCGCGTGCGTGTGTGTATACACGTATAGTACTTATAGTACACACATATAGTGTTTTCTTAAATGATCTCCATTTTAACTTTAACTTTCCTTTTTTTTTCATTTGTCATATGTTAATTGTCAGTGTTTTTAGACCTGAAAGACATATTAATGAAAATGTCACATAGAACCACCTGCCTGTGGAGTTTCCTTGGTGAGTAATATGAACATATGCTGATAAGAAGCGTCATACTCCCGTTTTAACACCAGCAGATGTAGACTTGAATAAAAAACAAAGGCCTAAATAATCCTGCTGACTCCCCTTCATGAGGTTTTGTTTATGCTTAATACATTTGGTTAGTATGTTTTCCCATTTATATTATACTGACTTATTCATATCAATGAAACTTTCTTCATTTTCCTGATGCATAATAATGTCAACATTTAAAGCATCTTTTATACAGGAAGTGCTGTCTTTATCTGTCTCCGTCAGTGCTGTCTCTTTGCACCGTGAACTGTGATGTGGTCTACATGAAAGTGGGAGAACAAGGCAAGCTTTCCTGCAAATACTACACTGAGAAACAAGAGGTATCATGGACATTCAACTCCCAGCTCATTGGCCGTGAATCTAAGACTGGGGCATCAGAGAGAGGTGAAGGAGCAGGAAGTGACTGATGTGCAAGCCTTAGACATGCTCACATATAGTATTCTTGTTATGTTACCTCACCTATATGCAGCGAGGACACAAACATAGTTATATTTAATTGAAAAGAGTTTTCAAACTCCATGTAAGAAAAACATTACAGTGCCCCCCTGTGACTGACCAGGATAGGGGGGAGGGTTATATGATGGATGGGTGAATAAATATTGTATTATAAAAAAAGAATGTTCTCTTACCATCAGTTCACAAACAAGACACAGACTTATCTCCCTTCCAATGGCTTTTTACAAGTTTTCCATTGAAGATTTCTGAATTGAGGTGTAATTTGTGGTTGAAGTGGCAGTGATGGCTTCATCTTGGCGTGTTTTCTGCATGCGTGTTTTTCATTCAATCTTTATTTGATGGTAGGGGCGGCACCAATGAGTTCACGAAGTTGGTTTTCCCGTGGATCTCTATCCATCAAGAAGGTGGAAGAGTCAGATGCTGGAAAATACAGCTGCAAAGTGCAATGGAACACTCAAGAGCTGAGCGCGATGACATATAAATGTAAGAACCTCCTTTCAATGCACTACAGGAGCAAATATCCAACTACTCATCACTCTATTCTTCTTGTTCAGGCTCGGCTCAGCCCACTGGGCCTTTCTTTCTGAATGAAGCAGTGAACATTCAGTGTAATGTGATGGACGGGGCCAAAGTCAAATGGACTTGCAAAAGTCCCAGTGGGCATTCACATATGGCCTCTGACTCGGGTTCTGTTAAAGTGACCCTTGTAAATATAAGTGACGGAGGGAAATGGGAGTGTTTCTTTGAGGAAAATGGACAGAAACCCATTTATTCCCTGGAGATTACCATCATAGGTACGTGTGGCAATTCTTGTGCATTTCCTGGTTTGGTTAACCAATGAGTCACCGCCTTGGTGTTCTCCCATGACCCCTGCTTGGGTGATGTGTCACATGAGACTGGCAGATGGCAACTTTTCAGGTATGAGTAGCTTGTGTCTCCCTCTCCCTCAGGTCTGATGCCAAGTGGAAACGTGACAGTCCAAGAGGGAGAGTCACCCATTCTCCCTTGTGCTCTGCAATCCAAGCCAGGAATCAACTTAAAGCCAAAAAATATAATTTGGAAGAGACTCAGCCCTAACTCGTCCCCGTTTTTGGAGGCAGAGTCATCAAAAGAGGGTGCACTTAAAAAGAAACCCACCAACTCTCCTGGAGACTTCAAAAATGTGAAGTTTTCCGCAGAGAATCTGAACTATAACTTTTCTGTGACGTTGACCAATGTGAGTTTCCATTTAATTGACAAAATCCTCCATTCCTGCCCCTTTTATTAACTGAGCTTTTAAAAATCCAAGGCACTGGTTTTGGTCAAAATTTATAGTTTACTTTGAAAAAATTAATTCCTCTTGCAGGCCAAGTTTTTGGTGTAGAGGGTCAAGCGGCGTATTGAATAAGAAATTAGACTCTACTAATTCCAGCTGTTGTTATTAAATACAAGCAGGTGAAAAGTTCTAACATCATTTAAATCGCATCAGGAAAATATCCAGGTGTTTGTAGAGGTAAAACTAACTTAGAAGCTGACCATATACCTTTGAAGGAAAATAACATGTTGAAAATGAGCAGTATGGATAATAAGATATGGTTATGGAGGTATCACTTCTCAGATCTATACTGATATTTAACTAAAACCTAAACTGGTTTAACTAATAATGTATCACCCTTAGTGTTTGGACCACAGATCTGATAACCTAATCATAACCTAATTCCGTTTTGGAAATGGACCAGGCTCAGATGAGTGGGCCATCTTTGAGCATTCATATCTGGGATTCAATTGGATGAGGTGGCACTTATGAGCAAAAAGACAACAGCCTGAAAGAACTTAACATTTCTGTCTCGGCCTGTGCAGGTGAAGGCATCACAGGCAGGCACCTACATGTGCTCTGTGAAATTTGACAATGAAAAAACCATCATCCACGAGATGATGTTAGTCATCATGGATCAGGATGCACCCCAAGGAATTTACCCAGGAAACAGCAATAATGGTTCAGGTATAAACATAGCAAGACCGTCATTCTCACATAGATGGTGTGTGAATTTCCTTCACCATCAGATCTTCTGCCAGGGGTCCAATCCAAGGCAACGTTCATGTTGGGCATTGAGCTGTGGATATGGATTGCGACTGGGGTTGGATGTGTGGTCCTGATCATTCTTGTCAGCACTGCTGTCATTCTGTATCAGAAAAGAAAGAGAATCAAGGTGAGAGACTCTGTTCAGTGCAAAATGAACTAGTTCAACAGCAAACACAAAGATATTCATTCCATTCATTTCTGTAACTTGCCTGTCAAAGTTAACAATAGAGGCTGTGGTAGGTTTAATGAATGAGCATTAATTGTAAACGGGGCACAGGGCTGGTGCTGATGTGCGTCATATATGAGGTAGATAAAGATCTTGATGAAAATGTAACGGCAGTAAACATGAACGGAAAAGGGAGGAGCATAAAAATGGCACACTGTACGCTTCCCAAATAAAGCAATCCTGATCTTGATTCCTTAACAATGGCCCGTTTATAATTAGCATATATTTCTGGGGGGGGGGTCCTCACAGGGCCAATTTTCTGTTTATTTGCTGTACTTGCATGCTTTTTAAACTGGTTACTGGCTGACTATGAGTATAGTTTCAGAAGAGAGGAAAATGCGAAGAGACAGACGCAGGTGCACGCACACAAAAGCAGCCTCACGCAGACACACGGACACAGGTGAGGGTTAGGTTCACTAATTAGGAGTTCCTCACGGTGCCATTTCCTTCTTACAGAGGAAGGCGAAGAACATGAGGTCTACGAAGCACCCGCTGATGCCCAGAGACTACTGCCATTGTAACCGGTAACGCTCCTCAGGGGTTGGGGCAGGCACTCGGCCACGCTGACGGTAACAGCAGACTAACCTGCCACACATGTCACTCGCCACAGGGGTGAGTCGGGGCAACCGAACGGGAAGCAGAGGGAGCACCGTCACACCTCAGACGCCAGAAGCAGCAAGGAGAGCAGGCCGGCTCAGCAGAGGAACCGAGAAAGGCAAGAGAAGGTGCCGTGAGGCAGGAAGTGCGCCTCAGCGTGTCAACAACGGGTGTAAGCTCTGTACACCTGCATTTACATTCTTAGTTTTAATTAAACACTTCAAATAATGTGCATGTCTTTGTCAGAGCAAATGGCCTCAGCTTGAATTCATGTAATTTGTCTATTTCATTCATTCTTTTTATTTTGTTCACAAAGTTTGTCTCATAAATGTGGTTTTTTTTTTGGCAAAAGGACATTTATAATGCATGTATTTTCCATTCTGACTGCTTTCAAAAATAAACACATGTACTCCAAATTTGAGTCCAGTCGATGTTACGATGTTGCAGTTAGGAATGAATGTTTCCTTGTTAAGTCATTTGCATGGATGTCGTGCGGCTTCACATACAGACACACAGAGGAGACCCAGTCAGCTATTGCATGCTGGCAGTTTTCTCATTCTCAGAACTTTGTTTACCCCTTGGGTGTTTTTGCCGCTAATCCTGCCGTCGCCATCCTCCCCACGTTTGCGGGCTCTCTCTCGCCCCGTCGAACTGGTGCAGGGGACTGCATGCAGGTGTTCCAGGAGAACTGTAATGTCCTGACATCTGTGTCACTTACCCAGGTGAAAAGCCTTCTTTAACATTTTCAAAACAGCAGCTGAAGTGAAATTCTGTTGCCCAGAACATTCTGCTTCAGAGATCAATATTTGAAGATGGTGTTCTTCTGTCTTCTAGGAGACAGTTTCACTCACCTGTGAAATATCCATTAAGAAGGTTGCCAAAGCTCCATGTCCTTAGGTGTTACTCATGGGGAAGATGGGTGGGACACATCCTACTGAATAACTAAAACAGTGGTGTTTGTCCCACACAATACTTTCCTTGGCCTTTAAAAATAGGGATAAATTTGTCAGGAGAATTCTGTTCTCATCTCACCTACTGACTGAGGGGGAAACATTTTTTTGCAAATGATTTCAGTTGCGTGAACATGTATGGCAACATTTATCAAAGTCCACACTGCTATGTTTTCTTTATCAATCTCCATTCACTCAGGCATTTTCACATCGTTTTTGAAAGTATTTCCATACACACTGAAACTAGTGAAAATGTATATGCTGTACCCAGTGTTGGGAAGATTACTTTGAAAATGTAATTTATTACAATTACAAGTTACTCTATTTAAAATGTAATAGTAGTGTAACTATTTCAATTACTATATGAAAGTAATTTAACTACATTTGATTACTTTTTGATTACTTTTCTAAATTATGAATGAATATTCTCAACCATTAACCATTTTGAAATTTTGTAACCTGGCAGTGTTTACCTTACAGCAGTACTAAACACTGATTACTCCTTTCAATACATGAATTAACATGATTATAATTGATCAATTTAATAAAAAATACCAAACATACCATACATACCATATAGGCCTAATAATGATTTTAAACAACGGGTAAGAATAGATCCTTCATACTCAGTGAAAACCCAGTCATAACATTAATGTTACATAAAATATACTAAAATGTTTTAAAAATTGTTAAAAATCAGCCTTCAGTTATTAAATTTTAATGTGTGTTCATAATAAAAACTTTTTGGGAGTCAAAACAAGATAAACTACGAGTGATTTGACCACTCCGTGACGCTTCAGGATTACTTTATGATACAAGCATTTTATATAATTGTGAAAATAAATGGTTCCATTTTACATCTGATCTGAACAGTTCTTGTATCAGACAGGATATGAAATTTCAGCTGATTGTGTAATCACTTAATTACTCTGTTTAAGTAAATTTTTCAATCACAAATCACGGAGTAGCCTAAAACAGTGTCTTCGCAGCACTGTAAAATAAAATGGGTTAGCAGAGTGGTAAGGCTGCATCGCCCAGGGGTTAGCTAGTTAGTGAATTTTCAAAACTCAATACAACATAGCATGTCGGGAGTGCTAATAACAGACCTAACATAAATTCCCAATAACATTAGCATATTGAAAGAGGATGGCACATTTTCTGTCAAGGGGATCAGAAGTGTTTACGCATGCTGTCATTGTTTACATTTTGTTTTGTTGTCCTATGCGCCGTATCTTATGATTGAGTTGGTGTTGTCGTCGTACAGTCTGCATACCTGTCATAGCCAAGATTACTAGATCCATATCGCACAGTGTGATCGGTAATGATTTTATAAGATTGCCAAAATCACACAGTGATTACACTTTACACTTTACACTTTAGAACAGGGGTCTCCAACTCTGGTCCTGGAGAGCTATTATCCAGTAGGTTTTCTGTCCCACTTGGCTTCTGATGAGCCACACCTGTTCCTGGTATTTACCTGAGAACAGGTGTGGCTCATCAGAAACCGGGTAGGATAGAAAACCTACTGGATGGTAGCTCTCCAGGACCGGAGTTGGAGACCCCTGCTTTAGAAGCATGGTGTGGCATGCATGTCTTCTGTGCTTTGTTTAATATGAGTGTTTGCATTTACAGTAAGCTGCACTTACCTCTAGATGTTTCAGGTTGGACATGGACTGTTTAGATGTCGACAAAATCTTTACAGCCGGTAAACACGCACTGCATTACACAGTTAAATTTGTGCCTTCTTCCGTAATGTATCGGAAATGTTTTTTTTATTTTTCCAGCAATGGAATGCATTCCTTTCCTTGTCTGCCATTGCCTGCAACAGAAACTCAGACCGCTCAGACAAGTTAATTAGCAGAATTGGCGCTGCAAATGTAGATGCGACAGCATAACCAATCAGAAGCATCAAATTGTTTCAAACTTTTGGCTGTGGAGGGAAATAGCAAAGGAGGATGGTTTGCATAAGAAAAACATAAAAAAGCAATTAAAATGCTGTTACTAAAGATATTAGCAAGGCTTTGCATGCAATCTTATGATGTAACTAAAATTGTAATCATGAATATGTCCATAAGTAACTAATAATTACACTTTTTTCTCTAGTATCTGTAACGGATTACAATTACATTTTTTTTGTAATTAAATTACGTAACGCCGTTACATGTAACTCGTTACTCCCCAACACTGGCTGTACCTATTAGCCTACATTAGCCATACAAGCAACAACATATTGACCAGTAAATTAGTTTTTTTTTTTTTTGCACAAATATGCAGCAGTGATACTGTATATCATGCTATTTAGCTGCATACTGGTCAGCAACAAGGAAATCGTCACTGAACGCAGCTCCTCCATATCTGCCATATTGGAATACTGTTTACTTTTGTGTAGGGTGACCAGGAGACCAATCAGACAATGAGAGGGTGTAACTAGTGGGGTCAATTCACGGATGGGCTACATGATGAGTAGGGGCCAATTAGGGAACTTTTAGAGTCTACATTTTCAAAACTTGTTTTCAGTCATCCACACTGTGAATCTAAAAGGGAGTTTTCTGAAGTATACAGCCGTGAGAACATTTGCAAAAGTCTCAGTTTTTGCATTCTTAAAGGAAAATTAGGCAGTATGGACCTATCCACTTAATAGATCTGTCCCTGCCCCCCCCGCCCCACCTTTACTATAAACACATGCCCTTGTCACCATCCCTCCTTTAAGCCAGTGCAGAAAGCGCAGTGCATGAATCAGGAGAGCGCTTTGAATGGGATGCCAGTCAGTCCACAACTCATTGTAGAAAATTATGATTTTCTCACATAAAGATGATACTTTTATGTGTCTTTCATGAGTCTTCTTCCATAAAGGGGTTTATTTTAAAATTAGGTCTTGTATCCAGTTCGTAGGTGTTTAACTTAATGCCTGAAAATGACAGGCAATTAGAATACATTCAAAGCCACAAGTACTTTTAGAAGAACTAGGCCAGAAATTCTTGAAAATTAATCCTACAGAATTTTATATGAGTGAATGTTGCGTTTATATAGCACTTTTCCTCCCACCCACAGCACATTATAGAACCATTGTGTAGCACCCACCTGGATCATGCCACAGCAGCCATTCTGCACCAGTACACTCACCACACAGTAGCTAAGGTGGTGAAGGGATGGTAGAGAATTCACCAGTTAGACATAGAGGATGCTTAGGAAATCAGATCTGATAGGGTCACAGTGGGCAATTTCAGTCAGGACATCAGGGTACGACCCCATATTCTTTCAAAGGACACCGAGGTATCTTAGATGACCTCGGCTTAAGTCTCATCCAAAGGACGGCACCATTTTTACAGCACAGTGTCCCCATCGCTGTTCTGAGGTATTGGGATCCACACAGACCACAGGATTGGCTAACCTGTTGGCCACACCAACACCTCCCCCAGCAGCAACCCAACTTTCCTAGTTGGTCTTCCATCCAAGTACTGGCCAGGCCCAAACCTGCTCAGCTTCAGGTGGATTACCCAGTCTGAGCTGCAGGTGATGTAGCTGCTGGTATGGCGCTCTTACATCACACATATTTGATATTTTTGTAGACCATATATTATCTATCCTCTAACTATCCACTTATCCTCATAGACATAGATACATAGATGCCGCATTGATCTCTGATGCAAACTTCAGCAGCGCCGCCATATTGGTCCAGGCATCTTTTCAGTGGAAAACAAAAAGGGAATGTTGTACTCTGAGTGGAAGTCAATGAAAATATGCCAGAAATTTGCACAGCATGTGGGTGTACCAATTGCCGTACATTAAAAACATGATGTATCAGAATTACCTTTCATAGATAAGAATGCATAATCAACTTTTGCTTATATTGTGGAATTATAACCAGTTTAGTGAACATGTTAATGTTAACTAGAGTAATACGTATTTTTATATGTGATATGTTCTGCCAAAATAATTTGTTAGTTGCAAATTTCACTTTTAAATATATATAAAACAAAGGTATCAGCTTTCTGGTAATATCTGCATCATGTGTCTAGAAATTTTCCGGAGGTAATTAGCCAACGTGCCTGTGTGTGTGTGTGTGTGTGTGTGGATGAGGTTGACATTACAGATTAGAGTTTTCCCCTTAGAAATGAATGGAGAGTCCCCAGAAAGATATAATTACAAACCTGTGTGTATGTGTGTTTTAGGTGGCTGGAATACCAACCAAACTGCACCCCCCCCCTTCCATGGCAGTTTTCTTCATCTAATGGTTCAGTGTGATGAGTCTCTGGATACTTCAGGCAATGTAGAGGCACAGGGTAAGACAGTGTCTGTAGTTGCTGTAGAGATGTCCTCAGCTCTAGCAGCAGAAGACAGCAGAGACTCCATCCTCTTTTGTTAACATCACTGCAATTGTCTCAGATCATAGCTTCCTACCAACCAAATTTGGTAGTCTTGTGGATAGTGCCCTTGTGTATATATCAGGGTTTGTTGTTTGACACATTTTGGGAAAGCTTTCCTCTGATGTGTGCCAATGTAGCTTGCTGACAGGTGCTGTACCCAGACCAGGGCTTAATTTGTAAGCCAGAACTCATAAATTGTGCTGGAACTCATAAGACAAGGACATCGCACACAAATTGGTGGGTAACACTGTACTTCAGGGGTTACAAATAATGTAGCAGTACAATCTTATTTAATGTATTAATCAACAAGAAACTGTTAGTTATGTACTGATCCCATGTTGGTTCATCATTAATCAATTATAACAGTTCATGTGTTTCATGCAGTTACTATATTTGTTCATGATTTGTACTTGAGTAGTAAATGAGCAACGGAGTGCCCCTCAAAAAATTATTACCAATTGGTCTTTAGCAATGATAATGTGCTATTGATTGCTTAGACATGTAACAATGCACTATTTTCTAGTGACACCATGCAGTTAGTTACATCAAACTTTGTGTGTTGCACTCTTCATGCTGCTTTTTGCAGTCCTACTCATTAGCATTAGCATCCACAAGCACTGCTCCTCTCCTCCCTGTCTCTGCTTGTTCTCCTGTCAGATTTTTTGGTTTATTTCTGCATTGCTTTCAAATCAAAAGTCAGATAAGCAAAACATACTAATTTAGACGGATGTATGTCATAAAATCAACATAAACAATTCTATAAATATTAATTTCTTCAGTTGAATATGTATTTATTCCAAAGTTTGAGTAAAATTAATTTTAAGTTAAATTGTATTGGCTGTAGCGTTTGAGGTGCCAGAGCGCAGACTGTGCAAGAGCCAGAGATCCTGGAGCTGGGCTGCGGCACAAATTACGCACTGATCCTATCATTTGATCAGAGATACCGTGTTCTTGTCCTAATAAGCAAAGGAGTGCTGATGATTCCTTCCAAAAATATAGTGCAGGTGGTTGGATCAGCAGAATGCTTTAGTCCCCAATGAAACGCATCGTCGGGGCGAGCCGTCAGAGTGTGTCTTACAGGGCACATTCAAGAAAAACAGTTTGAATTTGCCAAACATAATTTTTTGCTCTTCGTTACTTATGTCTCCTTTCTACATACTAAGGCTGCACCATAAATTACAGAGTGGAACCAAAGGAAAAAAGCTGTGCAAAGCAGTTCTGTTCAAAGGGTTTTAGTCTTAGTTGAATACGTTCCTTTTTATGTTATTTAACTATATGTTATTTAGGCCTTTTTGTTAAGTTCATTTTTAAAAAATTACATGATTGGCATGAACATTTAATTGTTTATTTGGTAACACTTTATTTGGATAATCCGTCTATAGAGGGTTCAACAATTCAGCTGTTTCCTTGTCTGTAGATGTCTAACAGAATATACAATAAATTGAGTATATGTAACGATTTATGAACATTCCTACATATTCATAGCATAATTAAATTGAATTTGACCACCCACTCAAGCATGAATTGTTGAATCTCAGCTAATAAGTTGTTGAAATATTACAAATACTTTGTATACCTTCTGTAGGTGCACTATCTAAATAAAGTGCTAATGTTTATTTTTAAATAGGAATATATTTGCCTGTTATACATGTGTACACATATCAGCTGGGTATTGTAATCCCTTTAATAACAATTATGTATTTATGTCTAGATTGAAATAAACAAAAAACAAAATCAGTTTTTATCGCTTTTATTAATTCCTCAAGAAAATTACCATCACATAAGTTATTCAGTTTACAGAATATGTATACAATTTTTTGAATGTCGTTTTTGAAACGTATGAATATCCATTGAGAATATGTACATTATAGTACATTTTTCATCCAGAAAAAAGCAGCACCCTATTCACATCGGCTAGTATTACCGGGATCAATATGGCCCTGAGCAAGGTACCACCCCCAAGCACTGCTCCCCGGGTGCTGAATTAGCTGCCCCCTGCTATGTCATATATGGGTTAAATACAGAGGACACATTTCGTTGTTGTGCACTGTGTGCTGTGGTGTGTCAACAATGACAATTAATCAATAAATTCTAAAAATCAGTAAATGCAGTGTCTACGTATCTATATCTATCATTTTCCTAGTCAGGGTTGGCGGTTACTGGAGCCTGTTCCAGGCAGAAAAGAACACAAGACCCCTGGACGGGATGCCAGTCCAGTACAGACCATAGACCACATATCATAATATGCATGAACATAATCGATATAAACGTAAAGTGAATAATATTAGCAAATTAAAAGCATGGTTAAATTCCAAACAAGTAGCAGAAGCTTTGTCAGTCTCCTTGTTCCGCTGTTTAAAAGTTTAAATCAGAAAAATGGCAAGTTATACAAAACTACTGTTTCATGCTTCTCATGTCTCTTCCTCTTTCTGTGTTCATTCTGCTTTAACCACCAGTTCCCTCTTTCTCTGAAAAATCTGGCTATCCGTCTCCCCCACCAAACCACCAGGAGAAGCAGAGCAAGGGGAGCGGTAAAGAAAAGCAGCAACAGCAGCAGTTCTTGAGGTTTATCCAAGCAGCAACTTTCAGAAAAGGAATTACAAAATCTGCAGAAAATATTTGCAAATGACACACAGCGTGCAAAAGTCACATAGTACCCGCAACAATGGACCATCTGTGGCTGGAGTGTCAGTTAATCAAAGAAAGGCTGGGAATCTTTACTGCAGGCAACAGGAACACATGTATTGTAATGTATGTAGGGAAAATTCATTGTTTAACTAAAATAAATTTTAAGTTTTCTACTTGTCCCTTGTTCTCTTATTTTCTGAAATGTATCTTGTATCATCTTGATACCATGTTACTATTACAATAGTACAATAGTAATTTGCAAATACAGTACTGTGCAAAAGTCTTATGCAGTCAAAGAAAATATTTAAATGATCTTCCTGTTGATGAAGACTATCATTGTCTGTATGTCAAAGTGTCTCATCTTAGCCATGTTAAAACCTCTCCGAAACTCACCACAGTATTATCCCCATCCAATATACCCACGTATTCATTCACCTGACCACTGGCATACCATATTTACCTAATCAACACCTCATCATATTATGTCAATCAATCAGTGAAAATGTATTTTTAGAGGAAATGCTGCTCAAAAACAAACCGAACCAAGACAAACAGGAACAGGAACAAAAACAGAATAAAAACCTGTAAAAAAGACAGGAGATGAGACATAAGAAATGGGAACAACAGAAATAGAGCCAATAATACAATATCAAACACTGACACTAGTGAAAAGCCAGGGAGAAGAGATAAGGCTTCAATGTCGATTTCAAAGTGCTCAAAGTAGGTGCAGCTGTAATGGAGGTATACCTTTTTCAAATCCACAAAACACATATAGATTGGTTATGCAAACTCCCACAAACCCCCAGTATCCTTCTGAGAGTAAAGAGCATGTCTGCCGTCTCCAGAGTCCCACAAGCTAGCCAAGCTTGGAAGACCTCCTTCTTCAGCCTGACAGCTCCCTTTACTATTGGTGGGGCTGCTGCTGTGACCAACAAGCAAAAACGGTCACAGATCCGATGATATGACTACAAAATTGATCATCAGTCTATAGCCTAGTGTGTTCTGGTGCCCGATGCACATTAACATCATTAATCTCGAACATGGCATATGTTACGGACAAAAATCTGCTTGACATAGAATTCTAATAACAAAGCACTACTCAGGTTCAGATCAGGAAGTCCCCCAGTAAACCAGTCCCCAGAGGGGGCATCTTCCAGCACCCCACCCAAACTTTCTAAGAAGGCCCAATACTCTGACATAATGTTTGGTGCATAAGCAGACAACAGTTAGAGTATGTCTCCCAACTCTAAGTTGTAGGGGCTATAAGTAGCCCCACCCCTGCCCAGCGCCTCTCAGCAAGGGCAACTCCAGAGTGGAATAGAGTCCAGCTCCTCTCCAGGAGCCATGCATTGAGCGGAGCCCGAGTGTATCTCTACCTCCCAAACCAGCTCAGGCTCCTTTCCCACCAAGCCAGTTTTGGTAGCCGGGTTTCGCTCTAGCAAGGCCTCTGCCTTCGACTGTTGTTCAATCACCGGCCCCTCCTGCAGGTGGTGGGCCCACAGGAGTACATTGTATGTGTTTTAATTCTAGTATTTGCCTTTGCCTTGCCTTTAACCTCGTCTTGAATTACAAGGTTGTTTGTGACAGGCTGAACCCTGCTCTCCCCTCTACTTTGTATCATGGCTGGTGAATCTGCACTCCACACAGTGACTTTACATCTCAGCAAACAAATTCTTTTTAGAACCCCATTACTTTCAGATACATGGAGAATTTGCCATTTATTTGAAAAATTATTTCCTGTCCAACATACTGGAAATGATAAATGTTTTTACATATTAAAGTTGCAATCAAACCTTTTTAATAATAAACAAGTCTACAATGACCCTAAAAGGGTTCCATAAATACACCCACAATTAAATTGTTATAAAGATAAGATAAGATAAGATAAATGCTTTATTGTCATTGTAAGTACTATGAGATTTAGTTTGGAACATGTATATTTATAATTAAATAGATTCAAGGCATAAATAGAATGGGAGAGTATGTACATACACTATATATGTACAAGATATATATATATACATACTCTCCCATTAAAATTTATAATTTTTATTATTATAATTATGATACATATTATTATATTTTGGAAATGCATTTTCATAGAATACGTGTCTTTTGTGTGTTGTGTGCATGTGAGCGAGCGAGAGAGAAAGAGAGAGAGAGAGTTATGCTTCAGATAAAATGGTTTCCTGTGAATGTGTGCTACTGTATGTGGTGACTGCTGTCAGTTCAGGACTCTAAACAGCACAGGGCACATCAGCCTGGTAAGTACAGCTCTGCTTGTCTTTTTCTCTAACTTTCTGAGAGCAAACACATTTACAACTGAGACGTCAACACACGCGTCGAGCAAAGGCCAGACTATCCACCCCGCTGATATATGACCGAGGTCAGAGCAGCCGTTAACATGGTACCTGACATCATGAACACGCCTGGGGAAAGGATGGAGCGTTAATAGCAGGGGGTTCAGAAGGGAGAGAAATCAGATTTTAAAATGAGTGAAAAGGGGGGAAAAGAGAACAAAAAATGACTAGATAATGAATAAAAGTGCAGCAGCAGAGGACTAAGCCAACTAGCAGCCAGGTTAGCAGCTTGTCAATGCCGCTGAGCTGCTCTCATCTGCTTCTCACCTTACCACAAATTTTTTTGCTTTACATGGAATTCATAAATTAAAATATAATGTACAGCTACATTTATTTATATTTCAGTGTCGTGAATCATCAAGGCATATCACAAAAATGCATTTGCTGAATTATACACAATGTAGCACAGTAATTAATATGCTATAAGGACGCTTTCCTCAGAAAAACAGATATAGCAATTATAGTGAAATATCTGAAAATGCCTGATGGATGACATGAGCTGTGTTCAGGTATGGGGAACGGTAAGGTAATGTGTTTTACAGAGAATGATAAAGAAGTGTATTTGACATAGGATTTCACAGGGGTCTTTCGCTAACTCTCCATTCACGGTTTATATTGTATTCTTTTGTGGACACTGCAGTTGGCTGTAAGATGAGACAGACAACGCAAGGACAAAGTGAAATTTATGGCCGTTTTTCTGTGCGGGCATAGCTGTTAATGGGAGTGTGTGGAGAGGCCCAGATGGATGAGGGTGATTAGGCAGGTAGGCCAGATGTACAGTAGCCTGATGATATCCTGGTAATGCTTCTGTTTGTTCATGATTAGCGTCAAAATCTTCAGCACTCAGTGAACTTCTGTGTAATATAATATATATATTCTATATACATTATATATACATAAATGCATGCTACTATAGATGCAAATATACAACATAGATACATCTATACAATATGCTACGTTTTTGGATACACTCAACCCATTTTCCCTGATTAATGTAACAGTAGATGTCAAGAGTTAGCATGACGATATAATGAATGTATTTGGACCAAAGGCCTTCAACTAATACTTATGTGAATTACGTGAGTTGATTTAGAATTGATCGGTATTCATTCAATATCAGTGTAGCCGGCTCCCTTCACAACCTTCAAACGAGTGCTTTGTCAATCTCCACAGAAGGCCTCTCGCTTAGAAACACAGCAAGATCTCATTTCCACAATTAATGGGCACTCTAAAGAATTGATTTCTTATTTATATTGGTGTATTTTATTCTTAAAAATCTTAGTATTACTAGTTTTGTGCCCTGTTTGCTTGATAGAATAAAATGCAGTTTTAAGTAAGGGATAATATACAGGCAGCCAGTAGTTATCGCAGAAATAAGCCCCGACAGTGTGATCAGGACCCGACGCGAAGCGGAGGGTCTTGTATCACACTGAAGGGGCTTATTTCGCGATAACTACCGGCTGCCTGTACATTATCCCGCTTATTACACGGCTACTTGCCACATAAGGAAAAAAACTGGACATGAATATGAATTTGAAACATTTTATTGGCATATTTGTTTTAAATTAACATTTTTAAACGGTAATCTTTGTTGGCGCGGAGGGATTTTAAACATACAAGTAGTACTGGCTATGCGTTATTACTTTGGAGCGGTTACTATTTGAAAAGAATGAACCTGCAAATGTCTCAACTGACCAATCAGAATCAGGCATTCCTGAGAGCCGTGTAATAACATAATTTAACATTCTGGTGTATCGTGATAACCATAGTGTGTGGAGTACATATTAAACCAAAACGGGGTGCTTCATTCTCTCAATGTTCTATAAAATATACTTAATATTTCAGCGACTAACCGCTTCAAGCAAGCAGTAATCTTTGCAGTCTAGCCCCACCATCTCTGTCTGCAAAATGCCAGAAACAGCTTTAAAAAGCGGCCTACGGGTCTGTCTGCTTTTTCCGCAAGGGTCTCCAAAGAGCAGGACAGGAAACAGGAGGTACAAATCTAAAGCTACTGTCGCAATAAAATCATTACCCCTCAATAAAAAAATTCAAATTTGGCTTAAGTAGTTAGCAATTTCAATTGTTATGAAACAAAAATAAAACAGCTCTGACTAGACAGGATACTACATAATTTAATACAAAATATATGTAGTTCTCACAGTTTCAGGCATGAATGCATTCACGATGACGTGCATATGAATTACATAAAATTATGGTATGTATTTTTGTTTTTTCAGGGTCTATTGTAGTATCTATTATAGTAGCAATATGTGCTTGCTGTTGCATAGCAAGTTGAGCCGCTGCGTCAATAAATGGTCTACAATTGTTCTTTATTGTCATTTTTTAATGTGTTAAGGTAGGCGCTGCATTGTAAATAGGTGGATGAACACAGTTTACCTATTATGTGCAAGATATAAACATTTCAGCTGTTTTGGCAAGAAGCAATCAGATGGCAAAATCTGAAAGTTTATATTGACTCATACTGTTGCTGGTGAAGTAGGCCATGGAAATTTAAAATGTAATGTATATAGACTGTAAATAAAATATGAGTGAATATTTGGGCTTTTCTCATATTCAAGAGTTGGATTGTAGGCATATTTTATAAATATTTACAAATAAACTCTGTTCTTCTCTACTTCATCATAATGTGCAGGAATTATTGTGGACCACATCACCAAAGATTAACTAGAATGGCACCAAGTTTAACAAGTGACTACGCCCAGCACTAACAATTATTATGGATGACTAAGGAACAAAAGGTGCCAGTAGTCCTAAGGCATCTTTAGGGGCACAGTATGGCAGGGCAGATCAGCGAAGTCAAACGCTGTGCAGCAAATTCATGCCAGACAATGATGTCTCCCGCTGCTTTTCAGCATTGACATTGAAAGTAGTTATATACCTGCTCTTCACATACATGGGCATCTTACGTAATGATCAGCGTAAAGTCAACTCCAAGCGCCTTAAAGATTAGCGTGAACTCTCATCCATAAGGCTGTAATGATCAGCATGAACGCTAATCAATAACACCATAAAGATTAGCGTGAACGTTAATTCATAACGCTGTAAAGGTCAGCAAGAACTGTAATCCATAATGCTATAAAGATCAGCGTGAATTCTACTTTAAAAATGCTGTAAATATCCACATAAAGTGTGACACAAACTCCACTGCATAACATAGTTGCGATCAGAGCAAATTCTACTTGACGACATTGTAAATATCAACCCAGACCCCACTGCATAATACTGTGGAGATCTGTTGGAAGCCATCATGCTTCACGGCAATTTCCACTGACTTTACTTCTATTAACATTTGAATATTATATATTGTATGGGATTTTAATGTAAGCACTTTCCTCCGGGATTAATGAAGTCTTCTGATTATGATTCTGTTTTTTTTATAACTTACATCTGGCCATAATCATAGCCACCAGAATACTTAATGTATAATATCATAAAAAAAGATATATGTTTGCAAAACACCACAAAGTTGATTTTCAGTTATTTCTGAATACATGTTAAATAAATGTATAATTCAGAAATAATAATTATGCCAAGAAATGCATGCAGTTATTTTACCGGTTGAGAAAATATACAAACATACCAATAGGATACTTATGTTCACTACATTATTAAAATTTTGTATGATGTATGCATGTATGATCTATGATGTGCGTGTTGTATAATAGTAATTATATCAACAAGTCTATCTCCAAAGTTATGCTCTTGCACAACGTTGTAAAGTAATGATTTAATTTCTTCTGATTTTTTGGTTGACAAATGGCAAACTTCACCCCCATGCAGAATTAATGTGATATTAAAAATCTTTAACAATTTCAGACAAAAGTGGTTACAGTTAAAATAATGTTGGGATACAAATTATATGCAGATGATAAATGACGATTGGTCATATTACAGTTAAAATGTTTGTGTATGTATATAATGCAATCTTGTGTTGTGTTTTCCTCCATGTGATTAAGAATAGACTTAAAGCTATACTCTGCCATTTGGTGTAGCATTTCTTTATATGTAGCCTGTAGCTGTACATAACATTGTGCATTTCAGCTCAGAGGCAGGAATTCAATGTTCATTAACTTCCCTCTCACAAATTTTGGATTTGACTAAGAACATGATGGGCGTCCGTTGCTTCATCTCAAGTTTCTTGCCCACGTGTCATGAGTTGGTTGCAATGCATTATTTAATGCATGTTTATCATGAAGGACATTTATCATAAAGCACCATGAAAATAGCTGATAACTTTATTACTGTGTGTATACTGTATGTATTTTAAGTATACGTAGATTTGTGTGTTGTGCTGATTTGTTAACTTTTTCACATTTTAATAAAAAACTATTTGGAAGTTAGTCACAGTTACATGTAGCTTAAATATTTGAACTTTGATTGCAAACTCTAACATTCTCTGTCATCTGGCTTAACGAGTATTTCACTATATACCTTTGCATCTTCCTCTAAAAATTATCACTGGGATGTATCTATATAATGACCAACTTTTTATTTTCATTCATTAAATGTGATGACTCTGGTCATGATTTTTTATTAATTGCACTGAATTCTGATAACTATCATAAGGCTTGCATAGAGGTCTGGAGTTCCCCTGGGTGTCAATGAAGTTCTCAGTTCCCTTCCGGCGTTCATTTCGAGAACAGTGCAGCCTCATTGAACGTCGCTTTTTGCCGAAACAGGCAATTGGAGCTTGCGGCCCGTCTCTCACTATCAAAATGCCGGTTCTTTCTTTGAAAACATCTTTGAGAGTTCTGTGTGAGCCCACCATTATGAACAGAAAGACTTCGCTGAGAGCATCTTCGAAAAAAAAACAAAATCAATAGCTACTCAATTTGGGCTGAGGTCTTTCCTTGCTTTGACTTGAAAACGACAGTCTTGTTTCA